CACGACTCTACCTATATTATGTTATGTTTTACTTAAATTGTTTCACTAATATACTTCTATTTACTTTATGGGTATATTTGCTTGAGTTAAAATAAATAAATAAATAACTAAAATAATTACAATTATAGATATTTATAAATGTGATTATTTATATTTTAATTTTTTTGTATTAATATTTAAAAAATTATCTTATTTATCAATTAAAATCAAATTGCATAACATTTTAAAAAAATATTACTCCCTACATCGGCTATAATTATGTCAAATTTCTTTCTTTAGTTGTTTGCTAAACATATATATATACAATAAACAATTTTATTTACTTACAATTTTATTACTTTCATTTTAGCAAATAACAACCAATTTTTACTATTTTTTATAAACTCAATCGAATTGAACATAATCCAAATATATTACTATAATTGTTAATATGAATTTTAAAATATAATAATATAAATATATAAATATAAAAAATGTTAAAAACTGAAATTGAACTGAACCGAAAAATATCAAGTATGTAGTATTTGTTTCAAATTGAATTTGCTCATTAATCAAAAATTTGTTTCGATTCAGTTTGGTTCAAAAGTTTAATGGTTCCGTTCGAATATTTTGTCCACCTCTACTTATGACATCATCTTTTTTTTAATCATTTTTTAATAAAAGTTTTTATAATACTCTTATCTTATCCACCTCACTTTTGTATCAAAATATTAGTACTCCCTCCGTCCCAAAAGATTTATTTTGTTTTTTCATTTTCGTCCGTTCCAAAACAATTATCATGTTTCCTTATTTAGTAGTCTTGGTCCTCACTTTATAACAAAATTATTTCTACTTTTTCATACTACCTCTAATTATTACTTTAACATACTCTTTAAAATCCTTCGAAAAGTAAGGGCATTTTAGTCATTTATATTCTACTTTATACCAACTTTCAATTAAATACTATTATTACTTAATTCTTATGTCAACTCTCAATAAGACATTTCTTTTGGGACGGAGGGAGTATTATTTTTTAATCTTCATACCTAAATAAAAATGCATAATTAGCCAGAGAGACAAAGTATTTAATAAATTGTGTAATATAAATATAAATTTATTTGTTCGAAATCATTTTATTAATTCCAAAAAAATATACTCCCTCCGGTCCTTAACAATTTATCCATTTTTTCATTTTGATCCGTTCCTTAACAATATATTCATTTTCTTTTTTAGTAATTGTAGTATCTACCTAACATTACAAATACCCTTCTAATTCGCAATATATTATACAAATATCATTATCTTTATATCATACAATACTAATAAATGTAGTTTAGTCTTTTTACTTGTATTTCTACATCTTAATATAATACTAATATTTCTAAAATTCTATACAAAAAGTTAATGGATAAATAGATATGAGACGAATAGAGTATATTTTTGATATCTATTATTTAATTTAATATTAATTTTTTTTTCTAAATTTAGTATCATAAAATTTAATTTAATTATTATACAATATATTTAAATATATATGTATTTAAAATACATAATCATATTTTTTTCATAATTATATAAATACTTATAAATAACAAAATATATAAAATAGGCCGTGAGTATGGCGAGTGCTAGCCTGCACACAAATATTTCCACCGAGGCTAATAGAATAAGTGCTCTCACTGAATTTCTTAATTGCTTCCTCGGTCAGGGATTGACTATAATCGATAACACTCAAGGATATCTGCTACTACACATAATACCTAAGCAACCATCATGCATACTTTGAATGTCAGTGTTTATACCCAGTGTACATACTTACATACTTGCATCAAATACGAACAGACCCGAGCGCATCTCGTCTGTACCTATAATAATGGTGTCATATGCTTCAGTAACGAATATATATGCCCAGGAAACTACTACGTGATAAATCAATAATTTTGGTATCATACATACCATTGTTAGTGTTAACTGAGGATAAATTTAACATGGTAGTATTCTCATCCATTTCTAGAGATTATTAAATCAAATAGTACATATTTACAAGAATTCAATGAAGAAGTTTTTAGACATTAGAATGTATTAGACTAAATGTTATGATTGATTCTGTTAGTGGTTATCATTCGTCTTATACACACTGTTTCGAAGTGGAGAATTAATATTCATTTGTTTTAACAACTTTATGCAGAGTATAAAATGGAAAATGGATGCTACAAATGACACATAAAAAAATACGAATAGCGCTACATACTCTATGATCTTGCAATTGAAAAATGTAGTATGAGTTGTTGAATGTAAATGTATCATGCACAAACTTTTCCAGCAGAACCAATAGAGAAAATGCTCTCACCGAGCTTGTTAATTGCCTTCTCCGTCAAGGAATTGACTTAAATTGATCACACTTAAGGATACCTGCTAATACACAGATAATACCTAAATAACTATCATTCATACTTTGAATAACAGTTTTTGTACCCGGAGCACATATTTATATACCTGCATCAAATACTAAGATACCATAATGCAAATCTTACATACTTATAATAATAGTGTCATATGCTTCAATAAAGTGTACATATGCCCTTGTAATATGTGTTTGGAAAACTGACAATTATTTATTCAAAATATTTACTTGATGTTGGTAACCAATAATGAATTCATCATGATAATGTTTTCGTGACTCTCTGAATTGTAACAGATATATAAACAATGCATACTAACAGTTGTGGGGGAACACCATCATATATATACAATAAATATTCAATCTTTACATATGGATGGTAAACCAAGTCATAAACGAGTTAGTTAAAAATATTTTTCCTTAGTAGGATACATGATTGTTGTTATGAATACATGTTGCAATCTTAATTCACTTTTTGAAGTAACACAATGTAAAGGTAGTGCTTACTTGAAACGATAAGTTGTAATATACTATTAGAACTTCGAGTAGTTTCTACACAATAGTACAAACACTTTTCATTCAAAATATTTGAAAATTTACATTGTAATCCAAAGTGTATGACAGTCACCTTAACAATTGATCATGAGCATTTTAAAAAACAATAACTCGGTAAAGCAGATAAATACTCTAGCGTGGCTTCAATGTACCTTCCATTTGCCTTAGAGTACCGATTCTTGGCCAACGGTGTACCTAGTGTCCAAAAGTGAATACTTGTATGGATTTACTCAATGACTAAAAATGATCTTGATATATTTCAATTAGAGCAAGAGTTTATAATAATCTTTGTACGGGTCTAACGAATGCAATAGTTTAATACTTACTTTGTACCATTTGGATAATTAGTTACCATAAATTTATATCCCAAATTCTTGAGTTTATTTGAACAATATCTTGTATACAAAATTATACAAATCAATTAATAACTAAAAAATTCGAATAAATCCAAAATAATATTAATACCGAACGAAATGAATTTAACACAACAAATTAGGCTAAATCAATTTTGGAATTAAGGAAATGAAACACAAACAAACATGTGTTAATTCCAATTAAACAAACAAATTTGAAATAAAAAACAAACGAACAAAACAATTAGAAATTATGCAATTGAATTGGAGTGACTTCGTGTTCGTGTTGCAGAGATTCAATTCGGATGAAATTGAAAACGCCCAATACGATCACAATAGCTTCTTCTCCGACCAAACAGCGACGCACGGAGACAACAGCGCACTCCTCCAATCAACTCCGAAATAGCACCAAACAACTTCTTCCTCTCATCAAACAGCAGCGGTGGCATTCCTGAAGACAGCTCTTACACTTACATTCATTCTAAATCTCTATCTCAAACCAAATGTTCTCTTGCTTCTCTCTTCATCATGCGATTCTACCTCTGTTATGTTTCTCGACTTGCCTTTACGGTGTTGTTCGGAGGTTGAAACCACTTCCCTCTTTCATGGCGGTTCAAGCAAATTAGGGCAAATGAATTTCGTGAATTCCATAGCCGTCGACAGCCACCGAGCACGATCAGATGTACACGAAGGTGACGATTTTGCAATCACAAGATTTTAGGCGAATTTCAGTTCCAATTTTTCGCAAAAAAAAAATAGTCAATTTTGGAGTGAAGATTGAAATAGAGAGATAGGAATAGGCAGGGAGAAATAGATTTTCATGAGCACAGACACTGGGCAATCGGACTGCTCTCGATCGATTTGAAGATTTCGGGTAATTGGCAGCCGGAGTGATAGCTTTGATTTTGCGCGAGTCTTAACAGCAATTTAGAGAGATTGGGAAAGAATTGAATGGATAGGGGATTGGGGATAAAGGAGAATGAAAAAGGAGGGACTGAACTCAAACAAATAATAATTAGGGACTGAACTCAAAAGAATTTGTAAAAGTAGGGATGTCAGTCCAATTATCCCTATTATAAAACATACTAAATTTTTATTTTTATTTTTATTTTTATTATTATTAATTTTTTCAAATTTACAAAATTTAAAAAGAATTCAAAAAATCATATTTATTACATACACATACGTGTAAAGTTCATAATATTGGATGTGAATGTCTTGTCCTTACATACGTACTCCTTTATTATTAGATGAATTTTTTGTTCTCTCTCAACCTAGTATTGTAGGTCCTAAGCTCCTTATAAATACTAGACCTATTGTATTTATTTTGACATAGATTAAAAACAATCAATTTCATATCATATCGCCCCTCTTGCTCTCTCTCCCTTAACACACACGCTTATATATATATATGTATTACACTTCAGATTATATATATGCCTACATAATATATATACTCATATATTGCATACTATAATACATATATACACTAAATATATTATATTAATATTTATACAAAATAGTGATTAATGGTAGAGATAATTAATATTCCTATTTGTTATTCCTATAATATTAATATTTACAACACGTTATCAGCACGATCTGCTTTTTCGACATGGTAGGTATATTTCAATATTATTATGGCTACTAACATTGCAAAACAAGAATTCATCTCACTTGTCATTTCTGGCAAAAACTATTTGTCGTGGGCCATGGATGTTGAAATTCATTTGAAATCGATGGGCCTGGGTGAAACGATTGCGAGAGGCAATAATGCCACAAATCAGAGCCAAGCAAAGGCAATGATATTCCTCCGACATCATATCGATGAAGGACTGAATATGAAATATCTCACAGTCAAGAATCCTCTTGACTTGTGGAATAAACTAAAAGAAATATATGATCACCTGTAGTTGATCGTATTGCCGAAAGCCCGCAGCGAATGACACAATTTGAGGTTGCAGGACTTCAAATTAGTCACTGAATATAATTCCGTCATGTTCAGGATCACCTCATAGTTGAACCTATACGGCGAGAATATTAATGACAGTGACATGATGGAAAAAAATATTCTCTACATTCCACGCCTCAAACCTGCTTTTACAACAGGAATATCGAGAGAAAGGCTTCAAAACATATTCAGATCTTATTGTCTGTCTTTTGTTTGCAGAACAAAACAATCAACTGTTGTTGAAAAATCATGCATCCAGGCCAACAGGTTCCAGTCCATTCCCTTAAGCGAATGCGGTACAATCTGCAAATCCAGGCCGTGGAAACAACAAAGGCCGGAGATATGGCAGGGGCCAAAAACGCGACCGTCCCCAACATCGTCGAAATAATGGCAAGAAACCATACAAGCCCCTGAAGTGGCAGAATGACGAGCTGAAAAGAAATTATGAAGATAAGTGTCACAGGTGCGGCACAAAGGGACACTGGTCGCGCGTCTGCAGAACGCCTAACCATTTGGCTGATTTGTACCAAGCTTCGCTGAAAAGGAAAAGTACGTCTGCTGACGTAAATATCTCTGAGCTGAATAATGATGACGCATATGATGATGTCTTGAAGAACACGTCTGCTAGTGTAAACCTCGTTGAACAGAACAATGATGACACATATGATGATGTCCTAAACAGCGACCTTATGCATCTTGATACAGCAGACTTCCTTGAGCACCCTGAAGGTGCCAAGTGACTATGTATTTTACTGTTTTATTACTTTTTGTAATACCCCTCTTTTTGTATCATTTTGTATTTCATCGGCTATATTAATGTATTGTGTTTTTGTTTGTTTTATTCTTAAAAGAATATGAATGCCACGTGTCACAGTACATATTATAAAGAGGACCATATTTGCCTAAGCGATAGTGCAACCACGCACACGATATTGAAATACAAATAGTATTTCTCCCACCTGAAGTTGGGAAAATCAAAAGTCAGCACAATAAGTGGCAGTGCGACAATTGAAGGTTCCGGAAGGGCCGTTATCTGTTTCCCTGAAGAAATCAGACTTGAAATACAAAATGCACTATTCTCGAGTAAAACTCGAAGAAATTTGCTGAGTTTCACTGATATTCGTATAAACGAATATCATATTAAAACAGTAAACGAGACAAATAATGAATATTTGGTGATTACAAAAATCATAAATGGAAATAAATGTGCAGTTGTGAAACTGTCTTCATTGTCCTCTGGCTTGTATTATGCCAAAATAAGTACGGTTGAAACATATGCAGTAGACTTGAAGTCTACGCAATCAAATGAAGTTTTGATTTGACACGATCGGCTCGGGCATCCTGGAAATACCATAATGAGGCGAATAATCGAAAACTCCATTGGCCATTCATTGAAAGATCGAAAGATCTTGCATTCAAATTAATTCGTGTGTGTTGCATGCTCACAAGGCAAATTGATAATCAGACAGTCACCAACCAAAGTTGGGACTGAATCCCCACCATTTCTGGAAAGAATTCAGGGTGATATATGTGGACCTGTAGATCCACCATGTGGGCTATTTAAATATTTTATGGTGCTCATTGATACGTCAACGAGATGGTCACACGTATACTTGTTATCTACGCGTAATATAGCGTTTGCAAGGTTACTTGCACAAATAATTAAGTTGCGAGCACAATTTCCTGATTATCCAATAAAGAAAATTCTTCTTGATAATGCCAGTGAATATTCATTACAAGCATTTGACGATTATTGCATAACTTTGGGAATAACCGTTGAACACCCTGTTCTTTATGTCCACACCCAAAATGGTCTGGCAGAATCCTTTATTAAAAGACTACAATTAATTTCCAGACCATTATTGATGAAATCCAAACTCCCCGTCTCTGCTTGAGGACATGCGATATTACATGCAGCAGAACTTGTGCGAATTAGACCGAAAAATTATCAGAAATACTCCCCAACACAATTAGTGTTTGGAAAAGAGTCCAATATTTCTCATTTGAGGATTTTTGCATGAGCGGTTTACGTACCAATTGCACCATCTCAACGTACAAAAATGGGTCATCAACGTCGATTGAGAATCTATGTCGGGTACGAATCACCGTCGATAATTAAATACCTCGAACTAGTGATGGGTGATCTGTTTACTGCGTGATTCGCAGATTGTCATTTTGACGAAACAAATTTCCCGACATTAAGGGGAAAACAAAATCAACTGAAAAATGAAATTTCTTGGAAAATACCTATGAACTTCCTGGATCCTCGTTCACAACAGTGTGAGTTAGAAGTACAAAGAATTGTACATTTGCAACAAATTGCAAATCAGTTACCGGATACATTTAATGACGCTAGCAGAGTCACCAGGTCATATATTCCTCTAGCAAAGCTCCGGCAAAATTAAAATCCCAGAAGGACATATGAAAAGTGCAAATGAATCCTCTATGCATTTGAAGCGTGACAGACCTGTAGGTTCCAATTATAAGAATCCCCGAAAGAAAAAAGTATTGATTAATGATTCAATCCCTCAAACAATTTGCAGTGACAAGGAACAAATCCTTGAAGAAGATGCTCCTGAAGAGCCCACCTCAAAAGAAAATGAAGTTATCGAGAATTCAATTAACTTCATCGCTACAAATAAAAGTTGGAGCCGCAATGAAATAGTCATCGATAATGCATTTGCATATAACATGACACTTGATATAATGGAAAATGACGAGGATCCCGAACCAACATCAGTTGATGAATGTCGGAAAAGAAACGATTGGCCAAAATGGAAAGATGTGATCCAGTCTGAACTAGACTCACTGGCCAAAAGAAATGCCTTTGGACTTATAATTCAAACACCAGAATGTGTTAAGCCAGTTGGGTGCAAATGGGTATTTGTGAGAAAAAAAATAAAGACAATAAAGTTGTACGATACAAAGCAAGACTTGTAGCTCAAGGATTCTCACAAACACTTGTGATTGATTATGATGAGACATATTCCCCAGTTATGGTATCACATTTAAATACCTCGTAAGCCTAGCAGTGCATGAAAAACTTGACATGGCCTCATGGACGTAGTTACTGCTTACTTATATGGCTCACTGGAAAATTATATTTATGTGAAAATCCCTGAAGGATATAACATACCTGAAGCATGCAATCAAATCCCAGAGAATGTTGTTTTATCAAAGTACAAAAGTCTTTGTATGGACTTAAACAATCTGGACGCATGTGGTATAACCGTCTCACTTGAGTGTTTAACCAAAGAAGGTTACACTAACGACCCAATATGCCCATGTGTTTTCATAAAGAAAAATGGGTCAAAATTCGTGATCATTGCAGTATATTTTGATAATCTCAATATTATCGGAGCTACTGAAGAGCTCCAATCAGTCGTGGAATATTTGAAAAGAGAATTTGAGATCAAAGACTTTGGAAAGACAAAGTTTTGCCTTGGTCTGAAAATTGAATATATGGATAATGGAATATTCATCAACCAAACCGCCTATAACCAAAAGGTATTGAAACGATTTTATATAGATAAAGCACATTCATTGAGTACCCCAATGATCGTCAGGTCATTTGATCCTAACAAGGATCCATTTAGACCAAAAGAGGATGATGAAGAGATACTTGGTCCTGAAGTACCATATCTCAGTGCAATAGGTGCACTCATGTATCTAGCGAATAACACTAGGCCAGATATTGCATTTGCAGTAAATTTATTAGCCAGATTCAGTTCATCTCCTACCAAACGACATTGGAATGAGGTTAAACATATTTTGCGCTATCTTCAAGGGACAAGTAATCTTGGCCTATTTTACCCGAATGATTCTCGACATGAGTTATTAGGCTATGCCGATGCTGGATATTTGTCTGACCTGCATAAAGCAAAATCGCAAACCGACTATATATTTACATGTGGCAGTACTGTGATGTCACGGAGATCCACAAAATAGACAATAACTACCACATCATCAAATCAGACCGAAGTATTGGCTATTCATGAAGCTAGCCGAGAATGTGTTTGGTTGAGGTCAATGACCCATCATATTCGAAAGAATTGTGGGTTAATGCCTGAAAATGAAAATCCCCCAACAATCATATATGAAGACAACACAGCCTGCATTGCTCAGTTAAAAGGTGGATATATTAAAGGAGATAGAACTAAACATATTGCACCAAAATTTTTCTTTACTCATGATTTGCAAAAGAATGGTGAAATCGATGTGCAACAAATCCAATCATCTGATAATTTTGCAGATTTATTAACCAAGGCCCCACCGACAACAACATTCAACAAATTGGTGAAAAGAATTGGAAATGCGTCAGCTTAAAGATCTCAAGTAAAGTCCAAATCAGGGGAGCAAATCTATACAAGAAAGATGTAGTCTTTTTCATTCATTATGATTTTTTCTCATAGAGTTTTTTCATAGTAAGATTTTAGCGACGCACATTCTTTGTCTAAAGACATCCAAGGGGGAGTGTTACATACACATACATCATACGTGTACAGTTCATAATATTGGATGTGAATGTCTTGTCCTTACATACGTACTCCTATATTTATTGGATGAATTTTTGGTTCTCTCTCAACCTAGTATTGTAGGTCCTAAGGTACCTATAAATACTAGACCTATTGTATTTATTTTGACATAGATTGAAAGCAATCAATTTCATATCACACCGCCTCTCTATCTCCCTCCTTTTAACACACACATTTTATATATATAATATATATATTACACTTCACGTTATATTTATGTATGCCTACATAATATATATACTCATATATTGCATACTATAATACATATATACACTAAATATATTATATTAATATTTATACAAAATAACAATTAACGGTAGGGATAATTAATATTCTTATTTGTTATTCTTATAATATTAATATTTACAACAATTTTTGAATTTTCAGACTTCTTATTTTTTAGACACTATTTTTTTAATTAAATTTTCTTAAATTTTACTAGTTGAGCTTTGCATTTCCATAAAAAAAATTATATTCCCTCGGTCTTATTGAAAGACTAATATTTTCCATTTTAGTCAATTCCAAAACAAAATTATTATTTCTTAATCTAGTAACTATCTAACACAATAAATATCTTTTTATATTAAGCAATAGTAACAAGTATTTTCGTCTTTTTTACTACAATCTATTATACTACTATATTAAAAAATCTACGTAAAAAAAATAAACGAACAACCAAAACAACAAAATATCTAATTAAACATTATTTTAATATCAAATTCAAACCAATTTTTTTCACTATCATTAATTTCTTTGCAACCTATGAGCGTATAGGCCCAATAAGTAGAATAGAGTAGAGTGGCTTTTTCGTTCAAAGTCTCTACATTGCCCAAAGAACCTAAATCGTCTCCTAAACCTCCGCCGCCGGTCGCCGCAATGCAGAGCTCCTTCCTACACTCCTACCCGTCGTCCTTCTCCCCCTCAACAACTAACTTCCCACCCTCTTCAGCCCGCTACAATGCACCGCTCTTCACAATCCGTGCCGCCGCCACGGAGACCGCCGCCTTGACGCCGGCGGGAGCTGCCGCTACTCAGCTCAACAAATACAGCTCTAGAATCACAGAGCCGAAATCGCAGGGTGGATCTCAGGCGATTCTCTATGGCGTGGGCCTGTCGGACGACGACATGCACAAGCCCCAGGTGGGGATTTCGTCGGTGTGGTATGAAGGGAACACTTGCAATATGCATTTGCTGAAGCTCGCGGAGGCTGTGAAGGAGGGCGTCGAGAAGGCTGGGATGGTGGGGTTTAGATTCAACACGATTGGAGTCAGTGACGCCATTTCTATGGGGACTCGAGGGATGTGCTACAGCTTGCAGTCTAGGGATTTGATTGCGGATAGCATTGAGACTGTTATGGCTGCTCAGTGGTATGATGCCAACATTTCTATTCCTGGCTGCGACAAAAATGTAAGCTCTTTTATTTCCCCCCTTTTCGATTCAATTGAAAGCTCCGAATTTTGCTTTTATATGCTTGATCTTTCTTTCTTGTTCCTCATGACTTTTTGAGGTCAGTTTTGTTCAAATGCGATAGTGAGCGTTGAGCAGCTGTGATTTAGGATTTTTTGAATTTGAAACTTTTTTAATGGAAATCGTTGTTGGATTTGATGTTTTGGCGAACACATATTTTAGCATCGAATGAATAGGAGAGTGTTGAACTCTGAGTGTTCAGCAGCTGTGATTTGGGATTTTTTTTTTAAAAAAAGAACTATTTTAATGGAAAATCGGATTTGATGTTTTGGGGAAAATATATTTAAGCATCAAGTGATTAGTTTGAAAAGTGTTGCTTTGTTAACTACATTAGACTTTAAATTATACTCTCTAAATTCTGTAACATATAACAGGGAAGGAACTTGTGTATCGATCTTAATTGCAAAAATATAAGAGAGAGAGATCTTTTATCAGTGAAGATCATTTGATGAATGCTGTTGCTTCGATTTTTGTGGAATGATGAGGTTCTACAGATTTCATCAGACTGTTAATTTTTTCTTTTTAATTTTCTTTTTATAGAAGTAGGCACTTCTTCTGCTAGATTATTGATTCTTGTAGTTGGGAGTTTGCGTTTTGATGGGTTGTGACTACAAATGTTAGGCGTCAAGCAGTCGTGGCAGTTGGTTTGAACTTGTTTCTTCATTTTTTTTCTATCCTGACTGAATAAAGTAATGAATATTGTGTTATTTTGGACTCTTCTAGTATGTCACTATATGGAAAGATTTATTGTTTTGCAAGCTCTAATTTGACTTCTGGAATTATCTTCGAACATTTGTGCATGTTTGTTGAGCAATACTTGACATAAAACGCAGTGTTGTATATACATTGGCTTATATGAATTATCTATGATGTGAATAATGATAGTGTCTCCGATCAAAAAAATAAAATAATAATAATGATAGTGTTAAAATTTAAATAGTGGTCCAATTTCATTGCATCTTTCTCATGTGAGTACAATACGTTCTTTATATGGAGTGGACTGCTGTTGCACATCTTGAATGTTTTCTCACATAAAGTGATACTAGTTTTTCACCTTACACATATCATTTCTTTTGAGTAAACTGAAGATTGAATTGATTCATTTAAGACTATTAGAGAAGCACTATAACCTTATATAAAAGAGTGAGGGGTGAAGTGAATGTCCTTTTGATATCATATAAAGTTCTCTGAAATTATTTTAATTGAGCAGTCTGCAAATGACATTCGAACGGGGTGAAATGACGCTGATATCCCTCTGTTGATATGTAATATGCTGTCATTGTGTTGCTGAATTCTACTTTCAGTTTTCTCGCATTGCTTTCTTCAAGGGTATAAAGTTGAATAGAACTTAAGGTTTGTTTAGATATGTTTAGATAGGTGTTGGGATGTGGTGTTTTGAATTGAAAATCTGTTTTTAATTAATGTAATATTTAAGTTCTAAAAAAGAATGTTGGGTCTGATTAATGTTAGGAGATTGTTTTCATCAATAATTACAAAAGAAAAAGTAAACAGAGCCTTAGCTTGTTCTTATAATGCAGTTTCTCTTCATCTACCTGTAATTAGATCCTTGATTTACTAAATGTAATATTGCAGATGCCAGGTACAATTATGGCTATGGGGCGGCTGAACAGGCCAAGTATTATGGTTTATGGTGGAACAATTAAGGTATGTCTGATTTACACATATTCATAATATCTATTAAATATATCTTGATCACGTCACTCTGAAGAAATGGGTCATTAATGGTCCAATTAATCTTTGCTCTTCTCGTGTGAGTTTTAATTTAGCTTTCATCATCGTCTTTGTTGAATATTGTCCCACATTGCTAAATGTGTAGGAACTCCCCTAGTATATCACCAATTGGTTTTAGGTTGGATGCCCGGGTCCCTTCTTTACAGTCTTTCTAATAGTTAAACTGATGTCTTGGATTTTGGTAAGTTTACCTTACCATTGTCAAACTGTGGTTTAAGCTGTTGGAGTTGTATTGGCAGACTATATGTAGGAATTTATAGTAATCTTATTTTTATGTCCCAACATACTCCAGTTATGTGGTTGTTTAGTCAATTTATTTCTTCTTCTTGTGTGTCATAGAACTGTGGATTAAGCATTTTGATGCCGTCTTAAAAAATAAAAAATAAAAAATAAGAATTGGTAGTGTTTTCTTATTGGATTTACCATGAACTCATTTACGTAAGTGTTCTAACGATATATGCAGATTTTTGTGTGGAGCAATACTTATTGAGGTATTCCAAATCATTTGTGGAATAGAAAAAAATTTAGAATTTATGTGTGCTGCTCTATGTGAAAGACATCAATATGTTGCTTATGTTTATGTGTTTCTTAAATTACTCACCAGGCGACTAGTTCTAATTTTGCTTAATGTTGGTTCATGCAGCCTGGGCATTTTCAAGGCCACACTTTTGACATTGTATCTGCTTTCCAGGTACGTGAATGAAATGTATCGTATGCAGCCTGATCCATCTTTTTGTTTTCCCTACTTGAAATTGTTTAGTATGTGTTAGTTTGTTGTACTATTTTGTTGCCCCACAAGGTGTGGTGGGTGGTTGGTGTCAGTAGAATGCACCGTCACTCGATCATGAAATTTTTAGAAACTGCTTGAAAGTAGTCAGTGGTTTGCATCATTTGAACTTGCTTAGGGATTGATGGTGACTTTTTAGCCGAGTATGTTTTGCTTATCGAATCTATGTGATGTAAGTGCCACTCATTTCCATAGTTTGCACATTTTTATGCTGTATGCTTGTTTGAGTGTGTTTTTAACTTTATTGACTTGAATAGTAACGAATGGTGGGGTTTTTTCTTGTTCTTTTAACAACTCTTACATGTATATATATGTATATATATACACATCCGATTCGATGGTCAATGGAAACTGACAATGTATGCTTATTTTCGGTGCTTCAGGTTTATGGAGAGTATGTGAGTGGTTCTGTGAATGACGAACAAAGATTGAATGTGGTTCGTAATTCATGTCCTGGTGCTGGAGCATGTGGTGGAATGTATACTGCAAATACGATGGCTTCAGCTATTGAAACAATGGGAATGACCCTTCCCTACAGGTAACACACGATACACCAGTTCTAAAATGTTCGTGAGCTGTTCGAGAGACCTACTTCAAAAATTAATAAGGCCTTTTTTGTAATGAATAACAGTTCTTCAACCCCTGCTGAAGACCCTCTAAAATTGGACGAGTGCCGCCTTGCCGGGAAGTATCTTCTAGATTTGATTAAAATGGACTTAAAGCCTCAGGACATCATCACTCCCAAGGCCCTACACAATGCAATGGTCATGGTCATGGCACTAGGTGGATCTACCAATGCTGTTTTGCATCTAATCGCCATTGCAAGGTGAGAAATACTTAGTAATGGCAGTTATTACTGTTAGAATGCCAATGTCCTACCAAGCAGCTCATAGCTAGAATCTCGCAGGTCTGTAGGTCTGCAATTAACTCTAGATGATTTCCAGAAGGTCAGTGATAAGGTTCCATTCCTTGCCGATCTTAAACCCAGCGGCAAGTATGTGATGGAGGATATACACAAGGTATGCTTATTTTGCAATTCACATATTTTAATGGTCAGAACATACGAAATTGTTTATCGGTGCTTTTTGAATATTTATTAGATTATATTTGGTCACATTTGGTCAATTGCGAAAATCAATCAAGAATGCACTGAATCCCCAAATTTGATGTTGAAGTCAATGCACAATTCTATGTCAATTCTATGTTAGCATATTATATATAGTAATTTGAAAATGAAATCAGTTAAGTTAGTCTAACTACCTAATAAATTTGACCTCAATTGGTTCATCGATAATTACTGATTTTGTGCACAATTTTCTTTGGAATGGAGGCCTCCTAACAAGTTATGATTTTTCACAATTTAGATTGGAGGTACGCCAGCAGTAATTCGACACTTATTGGAGCACGGGTTTTTAGATGGAGATTGTATCACAGGTAAGTCGCATCTTGTTTGTGAACACTCACTATATATCTGCTTTCATATCTAGGATTTGACAATAACACTCTCACTATGTCTATAGTTACCGGACAAACTTTGGCCGAGAATGCGAAACTATTTCCGTCACTTCCAAAGGATCAGGTATAGCTGCCCTCCCTATCAATTCAATCTTATTCCAGATTATATTCGAGCTTCTTGATCAAGAAACATTACCTTTTTCTTTTTTTGCAGCAAATAATTAGACCCTTCAGTAACCCCATCAAAGAAACAGGTCACATACAGATATTGTTCGGCAACCTTGCACCCGAAGGTTCTGTCGCAAAGATCACTGGGAAAGAAGGGTTATATTTCTCCGGTAATTGTTTCAGCTGAAAGTTTCTCATTACATATACATTTTTATGTTTCCTGCTGTTGGCCATTTAAATATATGTAAGCGCGCTATTTAAGAAATAAGCTTTTGATACATATTTCTTGCAGGCCCTGCCCTTGTATTCGAAGGCGAGGAATCTATGATCGCCGCTATCACTGAAAACCCGAGCAGTTTCAAGGTAATTCCAAAATGGTTCTAAAATATCTACTTACCTCACAGCTCCTCTCGTGGAAGTGGAAAGTATTGATATATAGTTTTATATGTAATGTCAGGGAAAAGTTGTCGTCATTAGGGGAGAGGGTCCTAAAGGGGGGCCAGGCATGCCCGAAATGTTGACCCCAACAAGTGCAATAATGGGTGCAGGCCTTGGCAAGGTGCGCTTTATTATTCGGCATCATTTATAGCAGTACTTTTATTGTTCATGAATGAAATCGCCTTTGTTGAGTTGGTTATATATATTTTCTTTGTTCAGGAAGTTGCGCTACTAACAGACGGGAGATTCTCCGGAGGTTCACATGGCTATGTCGTTGGGCACATTTGTCCAGAGGCACAGGTAAATTCAACAATATTCTACAACAAAAACTGGCGCCTTTTGTCATTTAATAAGTATTGGATTCTCCTTACTTTCACGATTTTACACCCGTAATTTTTTAGCTTCATGAAAAACACGATGCTAGACAGACATCTTTTTTGTTGTCGAACTGAAACTACAATGTTGCCTTTTTACACAAACATGAAATGTCAAAAACACATGGTTCTGTCCTAAGACACTGCATTGTAAATTTTCAGGAAGGCGGCCCGATTGGTCTAATTCGAAACGGAGATATAATCACCATAGATATTCAGAAGAAAAGAATGGATGTAAACCTAACAGACGAGGAGTTGAACAATCGAAGAAAGCAGTGGACACCGCCACCCTACAAAGCTGATCGAGGAGTTCTTTACAAGGTAAATACTTACACACACACTTCTTTCGAATCTTTGAAGCTATTCGAAAATTTTATCACAACAGACATGCCCTTATTCTATACGACTTCGTTTTTCCCATTCGACATTGTCCATCAGTACATCAAGAACGTACAATCTGCCTCAAATGGATGCGTGACCGATGAATAGGAGATGAATAGAAGACACAAAGACTTCTCGATAAAATGGTGCATAGAGCTCCCAACCTCAGCCTTTGGTTCTTAATATAGTCCTTAGGCACTACAAGTTTTCCCGCGGCTGCTTAGATTATTCAAGTTTAGCTTGTTATCTTTTTATCTTTTTCTTTGATGGGGACTGCTTTGAATTTTTATTTTTCTTTCTTATTGTAAGCTTAAATAAATGCAAGGGTTGAATCTGTTCTCAAATTTCTTTGGCAGTTTGATCGGGGATGAGCCGATGCTGTGTATTGTGTATGAGCCTTGTTGAAATTTTTTATGGTAAAAATTATGTGTTGCATTGATCCGGGAATGAACGATGAGGATGTTGTCTATGAGTAGAGTTTGACGGAAAAGTTTAATTGATAATGCACTCAGCGTATCTTCAATTCAAATGTCTTATAGTGATTTATATGAAAAAAAAAAAAAAAAAAATATTATTAATATATCTGGATCCATAGAGTTTCTTGATGCAGAACTGAGAACTCGAACAATTGGTATTACGGCATTTTTCAACTAAATTGTTTGGTCCTTCGTAATCTATTCCGATTGAAAAAATAGAGAACAATGATTGATTTAGTGTTTTAGAAACTATAACAGAATGTCTTTTATAAAACGATCAATAGGCCACCTATATCACCTAATTGATTGGTATTTTCTCAATTTTTCTCATATCAATAAGGTAGTCATTGACTTGTTCCATAAATAGATTAGATAATTTAAGTCAATCAAATATATAATTGATTGTTTCTATAATCAAATATTGTAATATAAATTAATCAAATAAATTATTGATTATTTTTATAATTGAATTTTGTAATTTCGGTCAATCAAATAAATTAGAATAACTAATATAATCGTACATTATTATTTGTCCATATTTAGATAGGAAAATATATATTTTCCTAACAATCTCCCGTTTGGACAAATATTATTTCCTGATCAATTATATTATTGAATCTGTAGTTGCGCAACGGTATGCTATTCATTTTTTGACTACCTTTAACAATCTTATACACCTCATGCACTAACAATCGAAACACCGAGGCAATCACCACATTATAAATCGTGGTTAAACCCTAGCAATCACCATATTAATACACTCAGTGATATGGATCAAATATGGTAAGCAACATGAAAATTTCATACGATGCGATCAATATCATATCTATTTCCAACTGGTCGGACTTTAGTGGGATCAATACAAAATAACTTAAATTGAATTCAGAATAAAACTAAATCCATCAATTTTATTTTCTGAGAAAACTGGACAATACAAATTGAAGGTTTTCCACATAGAACATAGACCCTTACTAAACTCTTTCTTTAACAGCAAGAAACTTAATGTTAATAAATTTTAACTTAGTTGCGCTTAAGTTGTTAGTGGAGTAATGCACGGCTGAGTTATTGCCACAAGATGTTTTCAATGGCCTCTCGATGCCATCAATCACACGCAACCCAGTGACAGTTTCGTAGCCATATTGCGTGATTGAAAGTCTCATAGCAAGCGATAAATTTTGTAGCCATGGTAGAGGAAACTACAATAGTCTGTTTAACAAAAAAATCGCCCCTTCTACTAGCATAACACATATCCTGATGTGGAGCGTTTGCTATCTTGACATCCAGCAAATTCGGAGTCAGAGTATCCCACGATCTTCAAGCTTTATGATCTCCGATAAGTGAGCATATAATCCATAGTTCTCTTCAAGTAACGCATTAAGCGTTTGGTTGCTTTCCAGTGTTGTTCTCCCGGATTGCTCAAATATCTGCCTACAACTCCCACTATAAATGCTATATTGGGACGAGTGCATACTTGAGCATCCATAAAACTTCCTACTGCCGATGCATAAGGAATCATATGCATCTTCTTTTTCTCATGATCATTGTTGGGACACTGTTTGAGACTAAATTTTTCTCCTTTAGCAACAGGGCTATAGAGTGGTTTGCTGTCTTTCATGCCGAATCTTCACAAAATCATATCGATGTAATTCTTTTGCGATAATCCAAGAATACCTCGAGAAAACAATCTCTTAGTATTTGAATCCCTAATACAAAAGATGCATCACCAAGATCTTTCATTTCGAATTTCTTTGTGAGAAATCTCTTAGTTTCATGCAACAAACTCATATCGTTGCTAGCGAGAAGAATGTCATCGACATACAAAACTAGAAATATATATTTACTCCCACTAAACTTGCAGTACACACAATTATCAACGACATTTACCTCAAAACCAAATGAGGTGCTACTTGATGGAATTTGTGGTACCATTGACGGGATGTCAGCTTTAGACCATATATGGATTTCTTTAACTAGCATACCTTAGATTTTGTGTCTCCAAATACAAAGTTTTCAGGTTGTGCCATATAAATTGTTTCCTTAATATCTCCATTAAGAAAAGCAGTTTTTACATGCATTTGATGTAACTCTAAGTCAAAATGAGCTACAAGTGCCATAATAGTTTTAAAAGAATCTTTCGAAAAAACATGAGAGAATGTCTCTTTGTAGTCAATGTCTTCTCTTTGAGTGAAGCCTTTAGCTACTAGACGAACCTTATTTCTTTCAATTTTGTCTTTGGAATCCCTTTTTGTTTCAAATATCCATTTACAACCAATGGGTTTCGCACCTTCTGGAAAATCGACAAGATCCCAAACATCATTATCACTCATAGATTTTATCTCATCTTTCATGATACCAATCCATCTTTGAGAGTTAGAGCTAATGGCTTATCAAATTGTGATAGGATCATTATCGATTAAAGCGTTTAACTGATGTCATCTTCATGCTCCTGGAGAAATACTATATAATCATTTGAAATAGCATTTCTCTTTTCTCTAGTGGATCTCCTTAGTGGCACTTCTTGAGGTTGTTGAGTTTGTACTTCAGTTGTAGGAGGAAGAATATCAGTGTTGCCCTAATTTGGAACAATAATTTCGATCGGAATCTTAACATTATTTTCTAACAGTGGGGTTGAATCCTGAACAATGATAGGCAATGAAACCAAATCATTGTGAACCATAGAGTCTTCCTCAAATGCAATATTCCTAATAACTTCTTCCCTCCCAAACTCATATCCTCAAGAAATTTAGCATTTTCTATCTCAAAGAATGTTCTTGATGTAGAATTGTAAAATTTGTAACCTCGTGAGTGTTCCGGGCAACCGACAAAATAACAGCTAACCGTTCTTAAGCCCAACTTTCTTTTATGTGCCCTATAAGGTCACGCTTCTTCCGGACAACCCCAAATTCGAAAATGTCTAAAGTTAGGCTTCTTGCGCATTCAAAGCTCATAAGAGGTTTTAGAAATTGTTTTGCTCGGTACTCGGTTGAGAATATGAACTGCGATTTTCAAAGCTTCTCCCCGAAGTAACTCTGACAAGGGAGAATGACTAATTATACTCCTTACCATATCCTTAAGAGTCCGGTTCCTCTGTTCAACAACACCATTCATGCTAGGGGACCCCGACATTGTGTATTGTGGAACAATACCACATTCTTTAAGGAATATTGTGAAGGGTCCAAGACGTTGTTCTTATGATCCATCAAATCGGCTATAGTATTCACTTCCACGATTCGATCTAATGGCCTTAATTTTTTTCCCAAGTTGAAGTTCCACTTCAACTTTGAAAGATTTGAAAACATCCAATGATTCAGATTTTTCATGAGTTAATATAGGTATCCAAAACGAGAGTAATTGTCTATGAACGTAATAAAATATCATTGGACATTCCAAGATACCGTAAGAAATGGACCATAGATATCAGTGTGAATAAATCTAAGACTTCTTTAGTTCTCTAAGCCCCTGATTTCTTAATGTTTGTTTGCTTTCGTTTGATGCACTCAACACATACTAGAAAGTTTGTATCGTTTAAGAGATTAAGGATTCCATCAGACACAAGCCTTAATATTCTCTACTTTGAAATATGACCCAATCTTTTGTGCCATACAATGGTAAAATCCTCCAAAACTTTTTTCTTTGTACCTCTCGATGAAGTTTACAATTCAAAATTATTGGAAATTATAAGATCAAGTAGAATATTGAAATATACTAACTTTATTATTTCCAAAAGACCAGGAAAATTCTAGTTTATCTAAAGCAGAAATTGAAACCAAATTCCGTCTAAATAGCAGCACTAAAAAAGTCTCAAATAAATCTAAATAAGAACCGCTCTTTAAGTGCAATCGAAAGGTTCCAATAGCCTCCACTACAATTTTATTTTCATCAGCCACAAAGATGAATCTTTCATCATCACTTGGTAATAGGTTCCACAAGCAACCCTGCAAAGATACACTTATGTAAATAGGGGCTACTCAATCTGCCAACCAAGTATCCTTAGACCATCTCTAACTCATACCTCTATTTTTGGAGGGCTATCACAAATTTCTCCATTTTTGCGGGAGGTGATACACACTGTATCATCTTCAACAATAGCCACTGTTTTTGCATATTACAGTAATTCATTTCCAATCATACATTCTATTTTTGCAGGCTCAAATAATATTCCTTTTACATTTTATTTATATATTTATATTTTATAATTTTTAAAATTTATAAATAACATTAAATATTCTATTATTTTTATATAGTTAATTTTAAAAATAATTTAAATATTATTAATAAATTAAATTAAATTTTATTATTATTTGATCTTAAAAAATAATAAATATTTTTAAATTAAATAAATTAAAATTTTAATATTATTAAATAATATTTATACAAAATAGAAAAAATATAATATTATTTAATTAAATATAATAAATACAATATAAAAAATAATATTAACTATAAAATTAAAATATAAATGTAAAATATAATTTACTTTATAAATAATAAAATAAAATCAAAAAAATAAAATAGATAAACTAAAATACAATTTTAAAATAATTTTTAATTAATTTTTAAATTCAAATAAAATTAAAAAATAAAAAGAAGTCACCTCTCGTATGAAAGGGCGCCCTCTCGTGCGAGAGGAATTTTGCCTCATCCTCTCGTCAAAGAGGGTGACAACTCCAAATTTGCAGAGTGGATTAGAAACTTCTATTTTTGCAGGATGGGTTGGAGATGGTCTTAGAAACAAAATAATAATTAAATCTCAGAACAAACCAAAGTTAACTGCATACCTTCTTAATACGTCATGCTGCATACACGGATTATTCTTTCTTCATATGCCCCGGCTTCTTGCAGAAGAAACATTTTGATTCCACTTGTTCTTAGGTCCCTTCTTTTTCTTGCCATGAGCATAAAGGGGTAGATGAACATTTTCAGATTTGTCTCTCTGCACTCTCTTTTCCTCTTGCACACAGTGAGATATAAGTTCATTAACGGATCATTTGTCTTTCTAGTATTATAATTCACTTTGAATTGTCCAGTGCAGAAAGTGAGATCAGAGCCAAGTGTACAAGCAAGTCTTCTGACAGCTCTAACTTTAGTGTCTTCAATTTTGATGCAATGTTAGACATTTACATAAGGTGTGTTTGTTTGGGGATTTGGATTTTGAATTGGGATTTGAATAGTAAAAATTTTGAATTTGAATAGTTGTATTATGTGATATAAATAGGTGTTGATGTGATGTTTTGAATGTAAAATTGATTTTTTATATAATATAAAAATGAAAAATAGGTGTTTGGTTTGATATTTTTTTTGGGAAAAAATGGGATGAATAGTGGAAATTAAATCCAATCCCCCGAACAAACACACCCTATAATGTACTCTGTTATGTTCCCTTTGCCTTTATACCGCATGGAGGCGAGTGTAGCCAAAAGACTACTCGCCTCCGTCTTTTCATTTCTGGCAAAGTATTTCTCAACGGCTTCATGGAAAGATTTAGTTGTTTTGCTCTCAGCAACAGAGCCCCGAAACGCATCCGGAATTGAGCGCTTCATGATCATCATGCACATTCGGTTCGACCGGTCCAATTTCTCAATTTTAGCCTCATTAGGCTCTGCCTCAGTAGTAATGGGTCGGTCGGATCGAAAGGTAAGATCCAAATCCATACAACCGAGGACAATTTCTACGGTTTCCTTTAAAATCTTAAAGTTTGTCCCAGTAAGCATTATGATGTTTTTAATTTGAACAGAAATATTGGGAGAAGTAGAAATGACCACTGTAAAGAGAACAATACAATTACTCACTAAACATTCATATGAACAAAATATGGGTAAAATAAATTGGGGACTCATTCCAAGACACTGATGTAAATTAAAAAGAAAATTTAATATTTTATTTATTTATAAATTGTAATTTTATATGTATATGTAGTATTTATAATAAATATATTATTTAAACGAGCATTCGCGAACAAAGCTCGAGCTCGTTCGTTAACTAAACGATCATGTTTATGTTGTTCAGCTCAGCTCGTTAACGTTCACGAATGAGCTTTAATCAAGCCGAATCGAGCCGAGTTCGCGAACGACTCGATTCGTTTAACAACTCTACTATTCGGGGATGCATTTGAATCGCACCAATGGCTTCAATGGATAACGCAGCAAAATAAGCGCTATAAGATCCTTATTAGCTGCAATTACAGAGGATTGGTTGCAGCGACGCCACCTGAAATGTAAATTCCTCGTTGTCCGACAGTATTATCGGCCCACCGGCGGCTTAATCCCTGCATATCTCACTCGCAGGAATTTTTTTGTACAGATAATTCATCTTCTTCCGAAATACCTTTCGATTAAATCTCTTCATTTGTTTTTTTTTTTTTTTTTCCCACAAGAGAGATCGAATCATTTTGAACATGGGTGTATTCCGTTGAACACGCCCGTGTTTGTATAAATACAATATTTATATTTTTGGATGGAAGAAACAAGGCCGTATTTGTTCAGGATCAGATGTTACAATGAAATACAATATTTGTTCAGTATCAGGTGTTTGTATAAATACAATATTTATATTTTTGGATGGAAGAAACAATGTCGTATTTGTTCAGGATCAGATGTTACATCAGCATATTTTATTTAAATTTTAACAATGAAATCAAAATTGATGATGGAATTTTTGTATACGACTAATTTTGATAATTATTTTTAAATATGATCAAAAATAAAAAAATTAATTTGATTGAGACCAATATTGATTTTTGCTAGGCCGTCGCAACCGCACCAAGTTCTTCACCATCTTCTTCTTCACCAAGTCTTTGCTTTCTTCCTTCTTTTTTCCGCCCTCCTACTTCTTCCCAATTGACGCCGCAGCTTCAACATGTTCTTTCTATATCTTGTTTTCTTCCCTAATTTTTTACATTCTTTCATCTTCTATCCTCCTCCTCCTTCACAGTCGCAATCTGGTTCCAAATAAAACTATAAATAAAAGCTGAACCGCCGGGTTTGTAGTTTGATAAATATACAAATTCGCAGTTTTGACGGTTCGGTTCAAAGTCCGGTTTAGGTTTAGGTAATGTGTTTGTTTGGGGGTTTGGATTTTGAATTGAGATTTGAATAGTAAAAATTTTGAATTGAGATTTGAATAGTAAAAATTTTGAATTTGAATAGTTATATGATGTGATATAAATAGGTGCTGACGATGTTTTGAATGTAAAATTAATTTTTAGTAAAAATTTTCAATTTGAATAGTTGTGATATAAATAAGTGCGATGTTTTTCTAATGTAAAATTAACTTTCAATATAATATAAAAAATGAAAAATAAATATTTAATTTGATATTTTTTGATAAAAAAATGAATGAACAATGAATTTAATCCAATCCCCAGACAAACACACCCTAAATCCTATTCTTCGGTTGCGAACCAGATGGGCAAGTCTGTATGAGAGCCTCACTTAAAAAAAAGAAATGTTAAATTGAGTAAATATTTATAAATGGGCCTTTTTACAAAAGCCCATAAATTTAGAATAGCTCGAATAGCAGTAGCAGTAGCAGTTTCTGCGTTTTTACTCCTCCCTCATTCTGCGTTTGAAATTGAGGAAGAAGGAGAACCCTCCTGTAAGCTCCCCAAATAAATCGTCCATGTCTTCCAACAACCCGTCGCAGCTTCTTCCATCAGGTTTCCTTTTACTATCTTATGTTAGCTTTTACGCCCCGCACCGTCAATTCGACAAACAGAATTTTCTAAAAAAATGCCATTAGGTTTTCCTGATACATTTTTTTTTTTCGCTTATGGTGGCTGGTGTTTTTTCGTCTTGCAGAGTTGATTGATCGCTGCATCGGGTCCAAAATATGGGTTATAATGAAGGGGGACAAGGAGCTTGTCGGCACACTCCGTGGATTTGATGTGTATGTGAATATGGTGTTGGAGGACGTTACTGAATAGTAAGTTTGTTACTGACTAGTAAGTTTGTTACTGAATGCGACTGCGTTTTATATTACTGTGCTTTTGGTTACATTAATCGGTTGGATTTATTGGTGTTTTGTATGATTCCTTAGTGCTGTCGATGAATGGTTAGTTATTGCGTTGATTTGATTTATTTTTTTATTTCTTAAGGCATTGCTGCCTCTGCTGCTGGCTTCACTTCCTCTTTTTAGATTAGGGTTTAGGGTTTTGGTGATGTGTTTGTTTAGAGTGTTAATTTGGTGGGGATTTAGGGACTTTTGTGGTTTCCTTTTTGTGTTTTTGTTTTTTTGTTTGTGGTGAAATAGTATTTCGAGGCCATGCTTTGTATGGAAACTTGATATGGTTTATTAGCAACGATGAGAGTGTTTAGTGAAAAAATAAAAAGCTCAAAAAATTCAAAGAGAATGGAGCTTTTCGAACACTTTGTTTATCGCCTACTCTAGATGTATTTTATACTACTAATGGTTAGCTACCGAAACCCCTTCTTTCGTTGTATATTTGGTGATTTGGAATGTATAGGGAATGGTAAAATTTTGAATTGCAAATCGGTATGGGATAAGATCTTTCAAATTAAAAAAAAAATTAAGTGTTGGATGAGAGACATGTTCTTTTGTGTTTTTATTTTTTTGTTTTTGTTTTTATGCTTTTAAGATGAAATAGTTGTTTTGTATGGAAAATGGGTGTTGGAACTTGGATGTGATTTTTGAGGGGAAAAAAAATGAATAGGAAGAAAGAAAAAACATCACAAGAGAATGAATATAAGGGGAGATAAGATTGCTGCTAAGTTTCTTTTAGGATGAATATATAAATATATATATCTATTGTTTGGTAGCATTTCTCTGTCTACCTTGTAAGAGAAAAAGGTGCATAATTTCTCCTAGATCGAGTATCAGGGTGTTGAGTTGCATTGCTTTTCACGCCTGGGGAATAGAAGTTCTTGATACGATTCTTTTGGAAATGGCCGAATGGTGGAAGAGATAGGAAAAGTTAATCCATATTATTTTTTGTTGAGTTCAAGCTCTTTGTATAATATAAAATACGTGATTGTATATTTATTTTGTGTGGATGTATTTTAAGGGTGTGTTTGTTTAGTGGTTTTTGTTTTGAGTTTTGATTTGATTAGTAAGATTTTGAATTTGAATAGTTATTTGATGTGACATATAATACAAATTGATGTGATGTTTGACGCTGAAATTGATATTTAGTGTAATATAAAAAATAAAAAATAGATATTTGATTTGATTTTTTGGGGAAGATTTTTGTAAATAGTAGAAATTAAATAAAGTCACCCAAACAAACACAATATAAGTTAATCTCTTTGTGGTTTCTAGCGTCTTGTGGATATAGATAGTCGCATGTCATTATGCTGTGATTCAACTGTAACTGAAATTAATAATCAGCCGCAATATTTTTTCGATTAGGTATGGATGAACTAGCATACTTTCTTGCTTTGGTTAATTCTATGCGACACTCTCATACTTGGAATTTGTTTGATATCATTGTTTTTTGCGAACTTACAAATATAAAGAAAGACAATTTAGTACTGTCGAATTTCATTTGGGCATTCACTGTTGCAATGATTATTGCATTGGACCGATTTGGCAATTTTGTGGACGGATGTAGTATATTTTTATAAGTAATTTTGATGGTTGTATAGTATAAAATTTGAAACCCAACTCCAAAAGAATAGAGCCTATTTCTTTCAAAAATTATGTTTTTAGTTAAGTTGAATCGTTTAGTTCTTTTTTACTTGTGCATTCTGAGGAACTTCGAATATATATTCTAACCTTCCGTTTCAGCGAGATAACTTCTGAAGGACGCCGGATTACAAAGCTTGATCAGATTTTGCTCAATGGGAACAATATAGCCATCGTAAGTGTGATACTTCCTTTTTCAAATTATCTTTCCCCGTCACATTTCCTTCAAATTTCTGAGCGCCATTTTTGTTCGATGCAGCTGGTCCCCGGTGGCTCGCCCGATCCGGAATGAGCTGAGCTGTTATGCCCTCCCTCCTGTCTTTGTCCGAGTCCCAAGCGCGATGCCTTTTGTTTTATCTTAATTTTCTAGGTTCGAATTTGTAAGTGAAACTTTGAAATTGTGTCCTATTATTACAGTAGCCTTCGAGTTCTAGTTCGAGTTCGAGATGTATGTATATTGTCGTGTAGCTTGGGCTTTGCTTCCATTGCTTCTTCGCCGTTCAAATTAAGGTTTCAAATTAATACTGGTTTCATTCACAAATATATTGCTTTTTCCGTTCCATTTTCCATGTACACATTGTTCGTCCACACCTTATATCATTTTTTTTTTTTAGAATAATTATATACCTTATTAATTATATAATATTAAAGTTTAATGTTTTTTATCCTAAGGGTATGATTGTTTGAGGAATTTTGTAAAAAATTTACTATTCATCCAAAAATTTTTCCATGAAAATATCACATCAAATACCTATTTTTTATTTTTATATTATTTTAAAATTCAACTTTACATTCAAAATATCAAATTAATATCTATTTATATCATATCAACTATTTTAATTCAAAATTTTTCCTATTCAAATTCCAACTTAAAATCCAAACTTCGAAACAAACACACCTTTAAAAAACCTCCAAACAAACACACCCTTAAGAAGTTTGTGACTAGCAGAATTCCAAAGGATTTTTTTTTTTGGTATGACGTTAAATTTGAAAGGTTTTGAGAACGGTTTGTTTGTTTGTTTGTGCACGTTCTTTATAAAAATTAATATTATATACTCTCTCTATCCCATTGAAATGTTGTCATTTTTTATTTTCGTCTGTCCTAAAGGTTACTATTTCCTAATTTAGTAATTGTACCACCTATCTAAACATAATAAATACTCTCCCAACTTATACTATATTACACAAATGTCATTATTTTTATATTACACAATACTAATAGAGATATTTTCGTCTTTTTCACTATAACTTATTATAATATTAATATTCAAAAATTTACGTACAAAAAGTAAACGATAACCTTACCGAGACGGAGGGAGTATATAATAATTATTTTTATAATTTATTATAAATTACATATTAAAATATTTTTTAAAATTATTTTATAGAACAAATAAACTCTGAATTTTGCCCATATTAATGAGATTTTACTTTGATAGTCACTAGATAATTTGAAAAACAAATTGAAATTTTTTATAATATTTAACATTTAAAAAAAATTCACTTAACTCCTATTTATATAAAATGTAGAAACAAACTCAAGGATTAAGCTTCTTTTAAAAGTTTGTATTTTGAAAATATTTTAAAATAATAAAAAACTGTCGCACGTGTCTAAAAGATTTTTTTTTTTTTTATATGATATCTAAAACAAATTGAATAAAGTTTTATAGGTTTTTTTTTTTTTTTTTTAAGTGTGGAACCCACCGTTGCTATCTAGGGTACCTCGGGCGGAGGCATCAAGGGACCCCGAGGGTCCGTCGCCCCCTCCCATCCGAAATAAAATTAAATTTTTTTTTTAAACATTTGCTCCCTCTCCAATTTCGTCAGCTGCTGCCTACATCTAATGGAGCTGAAGAAGAAAACTCTGCAAAAAAAAATACAAAATGAAAATAAAATAAAAGAAAAAATTAAAAAGTTTGTGTCAGTACCTTAAATCCTATTAATCTATCTCTATCCTCATCATTTATGGGTTTAAACAAAGAAATTATTTTTTAAATTCATATATCTATAAATAAAATTATTATATTATTATTTATAAAAAAATATATAATAAATATTGTTGTATTTAAGCAGACCCAGACAGACACTCATCTCCTCAATTCAATTTTTCTTCTATCACTTCGTCCTCCCTCCGGACTCCAGTTCTTCCTTCTCACATTTCTATTTTTTTCTTTTCTTGGCTATTTGGATAAAAAAAATCGGCATGAGGAAAATGACTGAATCTTGAAGGTACTGCGTATAAGTTATATTTGTATTTGTCTAAGAAAAAAAAATTCTATTTAGGTAATTTTATTTTATTTTAACCTAAATACACTATTTTTATTTTTTAACTCTAATTTTTTGTTTTGCAGTTTGTCTAATGCTACAATATTTGATATTTGTTTCAGACTTCTCATGTTTCTTGTTGGGTGCGATTTGTAAGTATATTTTTAGGATTTATATCTTTAAAAATTATATAATTTGTCTTTATTTGTTTAAATATGAATTTTATTTGTTATGCCTTTTTTTTTTTAAGGGCAAAATGAAAATATATTTTCTTCCAAAAAGTTCTAAATCAAAAGACGCTACTTCAAGTATTATCGAGTCAAATTCTAGTATTAATGTTAATGAGATTACAAAAAAACAGCGGACAAAATTAGATGAGGAGAATGATATTATTGGTGATCCTGGTATTCGAAAACCAATTGAAAGTAATCCCGTTGAAATCAAAGATGAATTGAGGCGACGATATTTGGTCAATGGACCTTGTCAACCATTAGGACATGATTTTCCACTAAGTCAATATGGTGAGGGTAAAAGAAAGTTTCGAGAGGCATGGTTCAAAAGTTTTGTCTGGTTAAAATATAGTGTGTCTAAAGATGCTGCCTTTTGTCTTTGGTGCTATTTGTTTGGTGAAGGCCACAAACATTGAGAGAATGCATTCACTAAAATTGGATTTAGAAATTGGAAAAAGACTATTCAAAAATTCAAGGAGCACGAGGGTGGTGGAAATAGTTCACATAATAATTATGCTAGAGCTAAATGCTTTGGATATAAAGATCAAAAGCATAATGTGGATTATGTGTTTATGCAAAAAAGTAGTGAAATGGAGATTGTTTATCGTACCCGGTTAACTGATGTTGTTGATATAATTAGATATCTTCTGGGACAAGGCTTAACTTTTCGTGGACATGACGAGTCATCACAATCCGTGCATCGAGGTAACTTTCTTGAACTCATCAGTTGGTATTGTGAGCGAAATGAAGAAGTAAAAGTGTAATTAATTCAAATGCTTCTGCCAACAAACAACTGACTTTTCCGGATATTCAAAAGCAAATTATCAATGCATGTGCTACAGAGGTGAAAAATGTGATTTTGAATGAAATTGGAGATAAATATTTCTCTCTTTCAATTGATGAGGCGCGAGATAGTTCGGTAAAGGAGCAAATGTCGATAATTCTGAGATTTGTGAATGATGATGGAGAAGTGATTGAACGATTTCTTGGTGTAGTATATGTTAGTGATACTTGTTCGCAATCTTTGAAAAATGCCATTGATGAGTTTTTTTTTTGCAAAGAATGGGTTGTCATTATCAAGACTAAGAGGTCAAGGCTACGATGGTGCATCTAATATGCGGGGTGAGTTCAATGGACTTAAAACACTTATTTTAAAGGAAAATGGGAATGCACACTATATCCATTGTTTTTTCTCACCAACTTCAATTAGTTGTTGTTGCTAGCGTGAGCAAAAATGGGTATGTCTTAAATTTCTTTGAGTACCTTTCTATGATTGTTAATGTTGCCGGAGCTTCATATAAAATGAGAAATAATTTGAGACAACAACAACATCAAACGTATATAGGAAGGTGGTGTTTTGACAGGAAAAGGAAAGAATCAAGAAATGGCCTTAGCTCGAGCTGGTGATACTCGTTGGTGTTCTCACTTCAAGACAATTCTTCGACTTTTTCAATTATGGGATGTGGTGAAAGAAGTGATTCAGACAGTATTTGAGGATGGTGATGATCCAAAGAGTCGATATGTTGCGATTAGTTTGATTGATAAGATGGAGAGCTTTGAATTTATATTCATTGGCCATTTGATGATGCGTTTATTAGGAATGACATGTTTTGTCACAAACTTTACAACAGAAGAATCAAAAAATATCTCTTGTTGTGCGCTTGATACAGTCATTGAAAGATGAATCGGGGGAATTTAGAAATAATGGTTGGGATGAGTTTTTGAAGGAAGTAACTGAATTTTGTTTTAAAAATGAGTTTTTGTGCCTAATATGGAAGATTTTATACCAGGTCGGGCAAGAAGAACATTGGATGGGAAGGGAAAGACTTATATTCACCATTTTCGTGTAGACATATTTTTACAGGTAATTAAATTCTTGTTCATTTTATAACGATATTCAATTACTATTTTATAGTATTACTTTTATTTTTTTTTTTTATTACAGGTTGTTGATATTATTTCTCAAGAAATGTGTTGTTACACATTTAAGATCAATATGCCATATATATACAAGAAACACACGAATTAAACTAAAGAACTTAAAGAATCTTTTATTAAACGAAAGCAAATGCCTAGACTCAGTTTACCCAATCTAAAAATCAATCCTAACACCCACTGTAACGCACAATACAAGCCTAACACAACCGACATCCACGGAAACGCATCCAACATGCGAACCTCACCACGATCTAAGGAAAAACACAAACGATTTAAGCCTAATCCCTCCCAACCACAATATAATCAATACACTATAAAGGAATGCTCGAAATCATAAATCAAACCGAGGAACAACCTCAGCACAGGCTGTTTACCAAGGAACTCAGTCGAACCAGTCGAATCGCCGGACAGATCACCGGAGAAGACTCAAGGAAGATCGCTCGATCGCCGTCGCGATTAGGGCTTTTTCAGAGAGAGGATTTGAGAGTCGGGGAGAGAAAAAGTGAGAGTGAGAGTCTGAGTGTGTGCTTTTACTGAACCGGGCAGAAGCAATATATATATATATATTGCACTGTTCTGGACCGGTGCGGTTCAACTCGGGGGGTTCAGCATCAGACCGCCGGTTCTCAATAGAGAACGGGTTTGGTTCGGGTTGCTGGATCCGGGTTTCGGGTTGTGCGGGTTTGTACGTTACCGGCCTCACATGTCATTGGCAAAAAATACCTCCACAATCTCCACCTTTTTGGGCATGGAGAAAGTGGCACATCATGGGTGTCATCACGGTCCGAGCAACGATAGCTTTCAATCTTTTAACCTGCGGACTTACCTACCAATATTAGAATTCTCAAAACAAAATTTCATGCCAACACAGTAAAATAAAACAGAAACAGTGCTGGGTAGCATAAAATTAAAAAAAAAAATTTAACTTACAGTTTAAAAAAAACCAAATTCTAATCAAAAGTATCAATATAGACTGTTTTCTTACACAAGTTAAATTTTTGAAAACGACAAAACCTTAGTCCCCATGTCCACAGGGTTATATTCGGTTGGAATTTTTTCAAGTTTCAAAAGCCCTTTTGACACAATATCGCATATAAAATGAAACCTTACATCTATATGTTTCATTCGG